CCTATTTTTCTCGCCGCTCATGTCACACACCTTCTTCAAGATGACTTTTGGAGTCAACATTTCCCCATCGAGTGGAATGGGCGACTCCAGGAGCAGCGGTGTGCAAGAGATCCCATAGAATTTCTTTTGCCCTGCTGATTTTTCGTCCCATCTTATGCTCCAAGATATTGTTCGCCTTTTTAAAACTTCTGAGCCTGGTAGCAAGTTTCTTGGGATCCCACTTTTCCGATCTCCCTTCGTACCTGTACCTGGTAGACTCCTCGCCCATTTCGCAAATCATTTTCAGATGACTTTTGGAATCATGTTGTTCCCTTCATCGTCTACTTCTTTCCTTCATCATCTACGGCTTCTCTATCGGGCGACAGATCCCCGGTAGTTCCTGGATGATTTGTTTTGCCCTGCTGATCTTCCAGGGCGTCTCAGGCTCCACAAACACCATTGATGGATTTGTTTGGTTTTGTTGATGAAGTTTTAGAATATTATGAATTCGCGGTTAAAGCAACGGCGCTTTTTCAATTCGCGGTTATCACAACGGCGAATGAAATTGGGACGAACATCTTCAGAAAGAGTTGTATCAGAACTCGTTTCATAGGACATATCACATGTCCTATCCCTCTTTCATGAAGCTAAAAGGATTATTGGGGGTGCTAAATGGTGCTAGAAGTACAGCATCATCTGGCACAGCTCCAATCATTCCTCAAGTTGTTATGGCATGTGGAATTCGTTGGCTTGCCGGGGGGTCTCCAACCGATATTAAGAACGCGTATGGGCTGAACGTTCGATTATTGCAAGAAAAACAGTCTTATGTAGTAATGTCTTATTTAGTAAGAAGGTCTATGTCTCTTCATCATCAGTGATTTCTTATTTAGTACTTTGGTTTATACCTCTTCATCATCCGAAACGTCGGATGTCTCGAAACGCAACTCGAGCCTTTTGATTGAAGAAGACACTGGACTTCTTGCGTCCTCAAGGATGTCGTCCCTCTTCTTTTCCACAGCGCGGTAAGACTTGCCCAACATGATGTCTGACCTTTCCAGATCACATAGTAGATCTTTCATACGTTCTTTAGTGCGCTACTTGTGTTGCATGTTGGAGAACACACAAAGTCAATTTCATCAAAACCCGCAGCTTGACAGCACAAGTTATGCACTGGTTCGCCACATCCTCGGCAAACATGGGCCCCAGGCCCAACCAATGGCAAAGACGGATACATGCAGCCGGTCTTCACGCCACAACGCTGTTCTTGGGATGGGGAAACATTGTTTGAAGCCATTTGTCTTATTGTTGGGTATGCATTTCATCAGAGATGACATACCGGAGGCAGGTAAGCATTCTCAGTTCAGGATTCCAACAATTTTGATTGGTAAATATTTTTTTGGGAGCACGTGCCAAGTCCATGATGCCGTGGTGCATTTCAAATGCACCATGCTAACCCGGATTTTTGCGTATGTCCGGGTTGGCATGGTGCATCGTGGAGCGTCATCCTCCGTTTTTTTTTCAAAATTTCACGTCCGCTGCATAGTAAAATGTATCATTGTTTGCATGATTTGTCACCAACATATCTGCAACACAATGACGACATACCGACCATGCCATTGGAAAAACGGGGTTCCTTTGCTGACTCCAGAAGTGCCTCGAAGATGAAACATCTATGTGTCAAATCTTCTTTCGGCTTATCCATCACCCGAAGACAATGAAACGAATCCTTCTCTCTGCCAACAACCAACTGAACAGGAACAGGATTTTCTAATCGCGGTCAGTTCAATAGAGTCACTGACCGAACCGAAAAATCAAGCTAACCGAAGTCGCAACGACTGTAATTGAAAGGTTGCACTACAGATTATTGTGCGATTCATGAAGTTTCCAGATTTCAATTATGTCAATCTTGACAGTCTGAAAACACGGATGATGTCAACACATTCAGAAAAACCTTGAAGCGGCTCTATAAACGGGGCACATCATGCTTTCCTCTCCGCAAATACTACATAACAAACAATGGTGTCAGATGTTTCAATAAGTGCTTGCGAGGAAACGAGTTTTGACTTCCATTGAACGATGAGGCTCATTTATTGACTGCACAACACGGCCGTACGTCCCTACCCAAGTCTTTCATCAGTTGTATACTAAGAACTTAAAATGTAATATTTAGGTGGTTAACCATCATTCTATAAGCTTTTAAAAGAGCGAGACATTTGTTTACTAGTATTAAAGGTTAAAAAAATGAAGGATGATTTTGTTGTTTTTTGCTCTCAGAGGCTATGGAGAGTGAGTGAGTGAGTCAGTCCTTCGCTCGTTAACGTGCGACAGACAGACGTAACGGACGACCCATAGACGATGGCTAGAGAGTGGCAAAGCCGAGAAATGAAAAGGGGCGCTCACTGCTCCAATCCAAAACACCAGAAACTGGTAACCGGTGGCATGCTGACGGTCATTCTAATTGTGAAAATGGAAATGTGAGGATCTTCTTCATTGATCAGCGGTACACGTACACGTACGGTACATACGTGTACGTAAATTACTGCTACGAGCTGTGGCGACCAGAATTCTTCTCCGAAACATCTTGGGTCATCTTCCGCAGTATGAGCCAGAAGTTTTCACCGTCATGGCGGCAGCTCACAATTGCCATTTTCCTTCTGTTCGCCAAGAAAGTTACAGGTTTTCTTTCGAACTGCGGAATGTATCGTATGTACGTAATATGAAATGCCGGTTCTACGGAAAATTCAGACATATTGTATATATAGTTCGACTGGAAAATGGTGTTGTCATAGCGCTACTAACAGCCTCAGCAGAAACGAAAAACGTCTCTTCTTGTCATATGATGGAGAATTGAAAAGATCGATTCTTTATCAAAAGCGGAAGAGCAACTAATAGCACCAATAGGATGAGTGTTGACCCACAGCTATCAGATACACAGCAGATAGTCTTGAGCATACTTCCAATCCCGAGTGCTATCATTAGCATACTGGGAAGCTCTGCTATCATCTATCTCGCGAAAGAGAGAAGAAAGATTCAAAATTGGACACCTTACACTCGGCTTCTCGTTGCAATGAGTTTCTGTGACATCGTCTTCAGCCTGAACGTGGGGTTTTCTACTTTCCTTCGACCAAGAGAGACAAGCTACAGAATATGGGCGTTTGGGAACGACGCTACCTGCAGCTACATTGGATTCATCAATCAAGCATCTTCAGCAGGCGCAATCTGCTACAACGGGATGTTATCATTTTACTTTTTGTTAACGGCTCGATATGGCATGAAGAATTCAAAGATCTCTAGGTGGATTGAGCCATTGATGCATTTGGTGGCGCTTGGATTTGCAATCGGCACTGCCCTCGTTGGTGCTGTCGTCGACATTTATGGGGAGAAGGCTGGAGCAATGTCATGTTGGATGAGCAGAGACAGCAAAGAAGGTACATCTGGTGCTACGGAAACAGCAGAAAATGATATGGGGTATGATATCATTGGAACTGTTTTCTTTGCCATGCCTGTGCTGGCCGTATTCGTCTGCCTGATAATCAACAACGTTGTCATCTATTTGTTTGTTCGGCGACATGTTCGAAAGCATCCATCTCAAGAGATCGAGGATTCCATATCGAGCGATGTGGATGTATCGTTTGTCGAATCGTTTGATCGATTCACTCTCTCGACGGGTTCATCGGAAGGGTCTTCAAGAGTACCAAGTTGCACGAAGAAAACATCCAGGCGAGAAAGCAAGAACAAAGACAATAGATCGAAGAGGAAGATAGCAAGCCAGTCACAACGACTGCAGCTGGTTTGCTCACAAGCGTTTCTGTTTGTGATGGCCTTCGTGGTGTGCAATGCTTGGAATACTTTAATGGGCGTTTTACCGGGCAGTGACCTGAAAGACATAGAATTGATGGTAAAATACTATCCTCTGGCAGTGTTGCAATCAGCTCTACTCCCGTTACAGGGTCTTTTCAATATGATTATCTTTTTGCGTCCCAAATACTTGAAGCTACGGCTTCGATTCCCCAGGGAAGGGAGATTTTGGACAGTGAGACGAATATTTCTTGGCGACGAACTTCGACCTACTGTTCGTGATGGTTACAAGCTTGATGCTCAGAGTGGTGCCAATCGGAGGAATGAACCCAGATCAGAAGCAGATGCACCGGTTGGAGACATGGGGACCTCAATGATGGCTCAGTTACGCCTTCCGCGAAACATGATATCATCTTTGACAGCAAGCGAGGGTGACTTTGAAGATGTCGCTGACGGGCTTGGAGAAGACGAGAGATGGCGCGATGCAAATTTGCAAGTGAGTCAGAGGGCATCATCCGACCTTGCTTCTGGTCTTAATCGATTGACGACGTTGGAAGCCATCAGTGAACTGTCAGAAACTGTTTTTGATTTGACTCCGTACCAGGCCAACGGATCGCATCTTTCTGTGATATCTGCGGGACTGTTAGTGCCCACGGAACCATCAGAGAGTCGTTGGAAAGGGGCAGAAACAATGTCGGAACCAGTTACTTCTCCCAAACCGTTGTCTGGTGTCGAAGGAAGTGCAGATGACTTGGGTGACTCGGAAATAAGAGCAACCTGCATGACTGATTCGAGGTCGGAAGTTCCCATGGAGCACAAGTCGGATTCATTGGATGTACCAATGCAGGTACCACTAAGGCGTACATCGGGCGATGTAGCAAGAAGACCCCGCAGGACTGATGATTCGAGAATGAAAGGTCCAAGGCGCAAACCCGATGCACCGGATCTGCCAATGCAGGTACCGAGACGAACATCTGATTCATTGAAGGTATCAGATACACCTATTTCTGTTCCAAAGCGTACATCGGATTCTTCAATTGATTCTCCACCAAGTTCCACGGATGCACTGAGTTCCAAAAAGCTTCCGTTTCTACATGTTGGATCAAGAGGAAAGAAGGTATCCGATGTACCACTGTCTCTGCCACAGCGGTTTACGAGCCTACCACCTTCCGAAGTCGAGGAAGAGTGCTGAATGGTATTGAATAAACGAAGAACAGCTGGGTCTAACCTTTGATCATTAAAAAAATCAAACTGTGGAACCTGTATACTATTCTGGCCTTTCCACGTTCTTCTTCTGCTTCTGGAGTTGAATTGTCTTTTATTTTGTCTCGCAGTCGTTTTAACGAAGACCAAGGACTGGGAGGAATTACGCCCGAACCATCGTCATTGTTGTTCTCAATACTCGCTTGGCGAAGAATCTCTTCTTCGATGTTTTCCAAACTCTTGTTTCCATCTTCATCAGTACTTTGTCCATTATCATCGTCTGTAAGACTACCAATTGTGAATGAAATATCGCGCCAGAGTGCTGATTCTTCCTCCTCGTTTTTCTCATTTTTCACGCCTTCCTCCTCGGTAGCTTCACCCTGCCCATTCTCCTTTTCTTGAGCCCGTCTTTGTTTGAGAATTTTCAATAGTTTCCATCCTTTCTTAGGACTTTGGATGTCTGAAGTATTGTTGTTGGCCGTATCGTTTTCGTCAGAATCTTCCCCGGCAGCAGATTCTTCCCCCGCCATTTGAGTGACGTTATATATAGTGGATGATTTCAAATCGCCAAAACGCGTGCGTCAAAATATCGATACACACCTCAAAAAGAGTTGTCACGATGATGAGATCAGACTCCGATCTAGACGAAGTGGAAAGTATCCAAGAGCCAGCCATGACCGAAAACGAGAAGAGTAGCAACGATGAAATAGAAGAAGCTGAGCCAACAGGAGATGATTCGATAAGCAAGGCATCCAAGAAAGAATGGAGAAAGCTCTGGCGCTCTCAGAAAGCCTACTGGCGAGAACGTGAAAGCGAGGCCAACCACAAATATGATGAGCGGGATGAAGCGCCTTCTGGCGGCGATGAGGAGGGAAATGAAGGACACTCCAGTTTGAACGACGACGGACAAAACGACGAGCATGCATCGAAGGACCAACTGCTCTCTGTCTTCCATTATCCGTTCTACTTTGGGTTCCAGATCATCAATGGATAGTTCTCCAGCCAAACCCATACTTGGTACATTTGAGGACGAATCATCGACACGTGT